GGTATGAATTATACAGAAAAGTTTGTGAAGAATTATGAGCCATGATTCTACCTTGGCTTTTTCGATAGTTCACTTGCATAGTTGTGTGGAAAGCAGATTTGAGAGAGGAGATGCTGGAGTCAGAAGGACCAGCCGGGAGGGTCAGGTGAGACCTGGTGGGAACCTGGGCTAGGCAAGAGTGAGCTGCAAAGGAACAGTTAGTTCAAAGCAACACGTGAGCTAAACCCACCGGGGCTTAATGACTGAGTCATTTACGGCAGGTTTTAGACACCTCCATTCACGGTACACAGAGTCCACTGTCAAGGCTTGCACGCCAAACTGTCAGTTGCCTATCCAGTATCTATTTTCTTGTTTTTATCAAAACAACTCTGAATTTATTTGTGGCGTTAATGTGCTTAATTAAATTTTTTTTTTCCTGCCCAGCCGGCGTGGCTCAGCGGTTGAGCATCGGCCCAGGATCCAGGAGATCGCAATTTGATTCCTGGTCAGGGTACATGCCCGGGTTGCGGGCTCCATCTCGTCAGGGGCGTGCGGGAGGCAGCGGATCGATGATGACTGTCTCATCATTGATGTTTCTGTCTCTCTCTCCCTCTCCCTTCCTTTCTCTGAAATCAATAAAGATATATTAAAAAAATATTTTTTTCCCCTAGCTCCCCTGGCAGCTGGGAGGTGGTCATATGGCAAGCCCTGGATAGAATGAGATTCACTAGGTCGTCCTACCAGAGACACTTTTCATAGGGGCATTGCCTTTTACCATCTGCTCCCCTCTCTTCCTGCCTCAAGTGTAGATGGCTGGCTGGAGCCCCAGCAGCTATTTTGTGGCCAGGAGGCAACTATGTTAAAGATGGCTGAGCAGAGAAAAGGAGCCTAAGTCTTTGACAACATCATAAAGACACCATACCAACCCTCAATGGCCCGGCCCGCTTTAGATCAGTTATGTGAAAGAAAAGAAATGCCCTCTTTTTAAGTGTCTGTTTTTTGTTAATAGCCAAGTGATGTTCCTGTCACTACACACGACCTTAGCAACATAAAGAAACGTTATTTATTTAATAATTATCCTGACCAATGACCAACATTAGAAACTGTGGCGACTAATATAAATTAATATTTTTCCTCCCACCTTCCAAGTTCTTCTAGCTGGGCTAATAATCAGATTAACAGACAGATTAACGGGAAAAAAATCAAATTTTAATACATGTGCATGGCACATTCACATATACATGAAAATCCCAAAGGCAGTGAGGCAACATTTAATATACATGACATTTTGGACAAAGGACAGAAGTGTGTGTGTGTGTGTGGGGGGGGTGTCGGGGTATGGGGGTCCTAAATTTCAGAAGCGAGAATGGGCGATTTACAGGTAGTGAGGAAGAGTGGGCCGTCATGGCAGACGCATTCTTGCTGGGCAGCTTAGAAACAGTGGGACACAGGGATAGCAAGGAACGGCCCCAGCCTCAAGCCCTCTTCTAATTCAAAGTAGGCTAAGGGAACATGCTAGTTTTTCTATCTGCATCTCTTAGGCAGGAAAGGGAGGGACAAAGGTCCTTTGAGTGTTGGTGTTTTTTGTTTTTTTTAACTGAGTCTTTTGTTTCTTAATAAACAGTTTAAGATCAATATCCCAAAAGGCAAAACTTTTAGTCTCTTTCAAAACATTAAAACCTCATCAAGGTGACCTTGTGCAACAGTAAGCAGCTGCTGGTGTATATAAATCTGTGGAGAAATTTTTCTTCTGTTTCTTTCTTCCGTGTCCTCCCAACACAAGCCCAATTCCTCTTCTCAGCCATCCCTCTGCCTCATCATATCTACTTAGGTGTTAACTCATCTGAGAGAGCAGCCAAGGGGCTGAATGTTCTGAGTTAGAATAGGACCCTTGAAGAACAAACCTGTGATGGAGAAAAAAGCCACCGAAACAACAACAAAAAACAGAACAGATGTAGAGATTGCTATTTCCGGACAAGGAACTGCCCAAATGTAGTATCAGTAACGATAAACTTGCATTTCTGCAGGTGACTTGATAAAGCACTCCTTGTGCATTATGTCATTAGCTGCCTGAGGTTAGACGATTTGTTCAAAGAGAAGACCTAACAAGTGACAGAGATGGGACTCAAATTTTCCTGACTTATATTTTCCCTTCTCGTGCCAAAAGTGGTCTTAGGAACTGTGTTGAGAAGAGTCTTCTGTGTACAGGACAGAGAGGGAGGAATCACAGAAATACTGCGCTGGATATAAACAGGAAAGGAAGACTCCATTGCAGTGGGAGAGAGAGAGACCGAATTTAACTTTCCTGACATAAAAAGGCAGGCGGGTTCTTAAGCCCTGAGGTGAGCTATTGGGAAATACTGGAGGGCTCTGGGAGTAGGAGGAGTTGGTCGGTGTGCTCAGGCCATCCACGTTCGCGGAGCAGCTCTCTTAGAAGTTAGGCTTCTACCCTCCCAGACCGACTGGGATACGGTGGCCTTATCTTTCTTGATGGTTCCATTTCAAAGGGATGGCTTCCCTGTCTTTGAGAAACATCCCTGGGTGGTATAACTGGTGAGAAGCTGTGAGATTTACATCTCAAGAACTGAGAAAAAATTTAGAATGGAAAGTTCTCTAAAGTAAATGCTGTAAGAAAAGGGCGATCAGGGACCCATAGCCAGGAAGAAACCTGCCTAAAGTCTAGTCAAGCTGAGGGGAACTCCAAGGCTATCTAGCTCAGAGGGGGCCTTTCCTTACTCTCAGGGAAGCCAGGTCTCAGAAGTTCCCAACTGATCATCTCCTAACAAGTGGCAGCTTTATCAGGGACACACATTGACTAGCTGGTGGAGGGACTCTAATTTAAGTGCTCATCCAGGTGGAGACAATTCCCTCTGCACTCTAGTTTCATGAAGACCTGTGGAGGTAAATCCTTGCAGTTTTCTGGCTCTCTCCACCCTGGAGAGGAGTGCGTTCACCTAAGTGACATGCCCAGGACCAAATATATCCAGTTCTTTAGGCAAAAAATGTTTTCAGCTCAGAGATGATTCCATGCAACGTCACAAGAGGGTAGAATGGGGAGGGCGGAAGGGACTCTTGTAGCCCCAAGATAGAACCCAGGGACACAGGGCACCCCCTTTTCAGAAATTACCATCATAAAGAGCTGAACCCGGAGCCCGCAGCACAGAGGAAAATGGAAATCTCCTTGGCTGCCATTTCAGCTTGCCTACCGTGATGCTTTGCTCAGAGGGGAGGCGACCTGACCTTAAAATCCAGGCCTCAGGAAGTGGGAGATGAAGGTATTTTATTTTCCCCTTAAGGCTCTGATGTGTTTCATGTAAAAAATTTTAAAGATCCAGTTCCTCCCCCTGAAGCTCCTTAGCAAAGTAGTGGAGTTTTAGAAAAGACAAAGGCCTGGGGGTGGGTGGTCCCTGAAGAGCGTTGCCCTGAAGCCTCTCTTTCCCTTTTTCAGAGCATGAGAATTTTTTAAAACGTTCCTTACTTCTCCAGCGTCACCGCCAACCCCTTTTCCCCCAGAGATCTCTTCTTTCATTCTCCAAAGTACAAAGAGACCGTTACCCCTCAGGTCCTGGTACCCATTTTTCCTGAACCCCAATCCCTCCAAACACCAAGCCGCTCTCATTTTGGCCAGGAGCTGTTTCCCCTGCCTGGGGCCAACCTGGTGTGCGGAGCAGAGGGCGCCTCTTCGGCCACACGGTGGCGCTCGCGAGCCTCCCAACGTGCCGCGCACTCGCCGCCCTACCCGCCCGTCCGCGTCCCAGCGCCGGAGGAGCCGCGCCCCCGACCTTCCCCGGCGGGACAGCGGAGAGCGCGCCTCGGGAGCCGGGGATGCTGT